AGGAATGCTCGAATTATAGGGGCATTATGTTATCGAGCCGCCCAGGTAAAGTCTACACAAAAGCGCTAGAAAGGAGGTGCCGCGTAGCAGTTGACCTCAAGATTCAAGAAGAGCAGTGTGGCGGCTTCTGGTCCGGTCGAAGCACCTATGACCATATGTTTGCCATGCGCCAGACTATTCAGAAATCGTGTACGCGCATCCAGTGTACGTGTGTTTTGTGGACCTAGAAAAAGCTTACGACCGGATTCCAAGCAACAGCCTGTGGACATGCCTTCGAGCATATGGGATAGATGGCCGGCTGCTAAAGGCCACCCAATCACTGTATTCTGATAGAGGTGCTGCGAAAGAGTTAATGGCGTTAAGTCGAAACCATTCAAGGTTCGCACTAGTCTCCCCAAGGCTGCGTCCTATCCCCCATCCTGTTTGTGTTGTACATGGACAGAACTGTCTGGAGCAGCCAATACGATGAGTGCGTCAGTTTAGATGTGGAGACGAGAAGCTTGCTGTTTGCCGATGACCTTGTTTTATTGGCATCTTCTGTAAATGATCTACAGTGCTCCCTAGAAAGGCTCGCAACCGAGTGCGACGTGACCGGCATGAGTGTGATTGCATCTAAAACGAAAAGCCTAGTGCTTGCTCGTTCTCCTGCCCGTTGCTCTCTTCAGATTAACGGAGAGGCAGTGGAGCAGGTGGAGAAGTTCAAGTACCTCGGAACTGTATTTACTAGTGATTGAAGGAAGAGGTCGACTGGTGAATTGGAGTAGCCATTGCGTTCTGCGTGAACTAGTCTGACCGACTGTGACTAAAGCAAAGCTCAGTCTGAAAATAAAGCTCTGTGTTCAAGTCGATCTTTATCTCCATGCTTACCTACGGTCATGAATCGTGGACCATACTGAAAAACTTCTAACCCGGGTACACGCTGCTGAAATGGGTTTCCTTAGACGAGTCGCTGGCCTTACGTGTCTCGACATGGTCCGGAATGGTGACATGCGGAAGAGCCTTGGAATACAGCCTTTGCTTCTCCAGATTGAGAAGTCACAGTTGCGATAGCTTGGGCATGTGTTGCGAATGCCTCCAGAAAGGAAGATTAAGCAACTTTTTCTTGCAAATTCGACCGGCGGAAGGCCCAGGGGACGGCCAAGATTAACCTGGTCCAAATATATGGAAGGAGTCTGTTCCAGACTCCGGTTGTCTTCGGGCGAAGCTGACTCTGGCACAGTATCGGGAACTTTGGAAGCTCTGTCTGACGTGTCTGCCTCTGCGACCCGAAAGGAGAAGCAGCGGTGGAAGATGAAGGTAAACTCTATCCCTTGAAGACATCCTCATGTGTCGTCAGATCACTTAAGGTGGGCGAAAGTATGAGTGCCAGTTGGCATTTTAAGTTCATGAAATGAAAGAGATTAAGAAAGAGTGAAATGACCTTGCCTGTAGAAATTTAAGCCAATTCGATAAGACAGCCTAAAGGACAGATGGCAATTTTCACCTAAGCAGTTGAAATGTCAAGGACACGCCTTTATTCAAAAGATGAAACATGATATTAATTGAAATATGGAATTGCCGCGCTAAATCAGACACTCATATTAAACCTCACCTAAAAGTGACACTGCAGAATATTAAAATCAAGGCAATCGTGCCATACAGATTTGCACATTACAGTCGCTTTCCTCTTATGCACTGCCGCAAAGAACTAACTTCAAGTTACGGCGATTAGCCCGCAATTACCTAATCCTGCGAAAATGTTAACCTGTACAAAGGATACGAACTCTACAAGGACTGGACAAACGTTATCAAGTGCCGTTATCGAAAAACTACTTAACCAGAAGCATTGGCGAAAAGCACACTTTTACTTCCCAGTATCAAAACAGCAGCGGACCAGAGAACCAACGCCAGAAATCAATCCTGACTACCCTGAATAATATTCCTGAGAGAAAAGCCGAAATGTCTGTACTTTTCAGTCATTCGATTGTGTTTTGCATAAATGAGTAGTTTCAATGCTTGTTTCAGCTTTCAGTATGATCACTAATGCAAAACAAAATACTCACCTTTGAAAGTTATCTTTTGGCTAATATGAAACATAGAAGCAAATGCAACACATCTCGAATGAAGTAACATCCGACTGAATACAGCTGGACCAACTTGTAAAAGACCTTACAACTAACTCTACAAGAAAATTCTTTTTAATAATTGGTAGCTTCAGCGTCATTATACGGCAGTTTCATTGCCATTGCACAGGAAGAAATTACAGTTACTAAGTAGTGGCAACAATGTCTTTTTATACAGGACATTTTGAACTGGTCGAATCTATTCGGCAGCATTAAGAAAACTAGGACAAGCTAAAGTAAGAAGGGAGTAGGACATGGTATCATTGCGGTAAACGAGTTGCCCTTACCTCGCCGTCGATGTTCGCAGTTGCAAACTTCACCGCAGTAAGGTCCTTGAACTTCAGCACTTTGCCGCTCATCGGACAGTAAATTTTCATGTCTGGTTTATCGATTGCATGCGGCACATTTTCTTCGTTCAACGACGGAATCCAAAAGCTACGTACGTGCTTACGCTTGCTGCCGACTGTCGCAGTGGAATTGATACTTGTTGTAGCTAGGTCAAAAACATATCGAGTCAAAAATACGATCGATGTAACCGAAATGACGTCACCTTCATCCTCTTCGTCGATGCTCACGTGAGCAGGTGTTGATTCAGCATTGATAAAACGCTTCTTGCGTCGTTCATTCTCAGCATTATGGCGCTCTTCCTCTTCGGCCTAACAATTCAGTTTCTTCATAATGCACTTAATGCTACCGTCTCATACAGATGTGTAAACCTGTGTCCTAATCAACTGGCGTTGCAAATCAACTACGTCGATACAGTATCAGTCGAGTGATACATAAAATCAGAAATGCTGAAGGAAAATTCTCACATGCGCTTGAAACGTTGTTCCGTTTTACGGCAAACGTGAAATCTAATTAATACGTTAGCGAGAGTTCGACACCAGTAAGGCCAGTCGTTTTCATTGCTATGAGGTAGATAAACGAGCAAAGTGGGAAAGAAACGGGAGAAGTAAAAGGTTGTAGTAGTCGCAATCTGTATCTGTAGATATTACCTGAAAACTAAGGCAGAAATGACATCGAAACGTAGATCTGCCCCTCACCATGAGCTGCATGAAAGATGATGAAAACAAATGGCGGTACAGCGGAAATATAAAGTGGTAGTCGACATATTAATGGTTACAAATTCGTCCTCTGACAGTTAACACAGAGAGAAATAAACGTGAAACCTAATCTACAAAAAGTAGAGGCTACTTCTGAAGTCTACTTTCAACAAACAGGTAGAGAGATTGAGAAAACATCAGCTTCAAACAATGCTGCACATTTTGGCCACTGGTCAATGTCGTTGCATCCCAAGAAC